AAAGCCGGATAGGCTCATTTTTGACAAGATAAAAAAATAATTAACTCGTTATAACGAGATAGTTATCTCGTTATAACGAGTTAGTATCTCGTTATAACGAGTTAGTTATCTCGTTATAACGAGTTAGTTATCTCGTTATAACGAGTTAGTATCTCGTTATAACGAGTTAGTTATCTCGTTATAACGAGATAACTAACTCGTTATAACGAGTTAGTATCTCGTTATAACGAGATAATTATCTCGTTATAACGAGTTAGTATCTCGTTATAACGAGTTAGTTATCTCGTTATAACGAGTTAGTTATCTCGTTATAACGAGATAATTATCTCGTTATAACGAGATACTAACTCGTTATAACGAGATAATTATCTCGTTATAACGAGTTATTTATGTCGTTATAACGAGACAGTTTTCTTGTTATTTCGAGACTTAATAGCAATATAGGAATAAAAATGGCTGCAGTTTTAAATGCCGTTGAATTTTTAGCAAGTAATTATCAGTCAAATTTAACTTGAACAATTGATAAATGGTTGAAATTTTAATTTGCTCTGGGGTTTACTTATGATTAAATCTTGAACTATCTCGCTGTCAATAATCATAGCAACTCTAAGGCGAACACATTTACACATTTTCGTGAACTCTTCCTCAAATTGTTGCATTAGGACGCGATTTTTTTCTTAAAATAATATTGCCAAACATACTTGCTTCAAACTTTGGCAATTTATTTATGACAACTATTTCTGATGAATGACACTATTTCGATATGTTTTGGACGACTTACTGGTATACACTTTCATATATCAATTTCTATACCGCTAAAATTAAATATCAGAGACAATATAAGTGCAACATATCGTTTATGCAACATATAATATATAGATTACAGTGTTATACATATGTTACTTCTGAGATTCAGAAATGTTTTGAAGACGGGGGATGGTGAGACATCAGCAGTTAGATCATAGGCGTAGTAATAGAGAGGCTAATGTCCACACCACCACTTTTGAAAAGGGGGCGGTCAAGAGTATCTTCGTGCCCCTTCCTCCATATTTTTTTACCTGAGTAAATATCTCCCGAAAATAATGGCGAATACTCGTAGTTGGAATATCAAATCTATTTTTTTTCTTTTTACTTGTCAAATATTTTACTTGGTTTACCCCCCCCCCCTTTGAACTTCGTGACTTATGCATATTGTCCGCCAAAATGAGGAATGGTGAAGCAAAAATGATATTACATCCTTTTAAGTAATAAGACGTTAAATCTGATCTGCTGATATTGGCATTTTATCTAATATTCTGTCATGATTCACTGTTTATATTTTTTGCGGGGGGGGGGGGGGGGAGGGGAGGGGGGGTCCAAGTTGTGGAGATTCACGGAGACCTATTTGAGATTCACGTCTATTTGGCGGATCCTATATGTTTACCACATAGTGTCAGAACGTCAAACCAGAGTTTACAAAACAAAAAAAAGTTTACAGAGTTTACAAAGCCAGTTCACTTTTATAATCTTTTTACTTAGGATTGATCAACGAATAGGCCTAATGCTACATATGTACATTTATATTATTAATACAACATTGAAGCAATGTCGTTAATTATTTTCCTCATCACAATATTTATTATGTATACTTTACACGCATATAATTTTTATTTCAAAAAGAGATTGATGATTTCTTTTTTCGGGGGGGGGGGGGGGGTAATAAATAGAGGATATTCAATGTTTTGTAGTTGATATGGAATTTATTTCACGAGTGGGACAGGGATTTTTTTTTTATTTTCATGAGTGCGAAGCACGAGTGAAAATATCAAAAATCACATTTCTTGGCAAAATTTATGCTTGAAATACGCCTTAAGTAATGCTTATCATATTGTAAACTTTAGATATTAAACTTTCATTCTATACCCAAAAAGGATCACATGTCAACTGTTTTTACTAATGCTGACTTTCACCTTTTATTGTGGCTTCCGTAGAATAAAGAGCTCCAAAAGTTTTTTTTAATTCTACCACATTGATAATAACGCAAAAATTACATATTGTAATTTAAAATTCCATGCCAAATTGGTAAATTAAAATGTTTCTTTCTTTTAATAAACAGAAGAAATATATAAATTATTAAGTGATAAGTACAGTATTAGTTCTTTTTATTATACCTCTGTCAATTTTTTCTATATAAAAATATTACGAATAAACATGCTATTTTTTCCAAACAGCCCCTACCGTGGAATAGTTTTTGTGCTATTTGCCCATGGTGAAATAGTCATTAAACTATTCACCGGCAGCATTCTGTTTCCCTCGCTTTTCATCTCGGAACTCTTCTGGTTTTATACAGATTGTGACGTAACACAAGTAAAGACTGCTTCGGTATAATAAAACACTTATTTACTGACTATTCGGACAATAGCAAGTTTATCGTTCCCCTCGACAGCAACTATTTCCCTCGGCTGCGCCTCGGGAAATAGTTGCTGTCTTGGGGAACGATAAACTTGCTATTGTCCTCATAGCCAGTAAATAGGTGTATAATATTCATTATTGAGGGGAAGGAGGGATTGATGATAAAAACAACGTGAATTTATTTTTTTGTCAGACATTGAATTTTGATCTTGCCCCTTTAAGACGATAAAATTGAACTGGTATTCCTTGTTAACAGGCAAGGAATTATCAAAATATGATCGTTAAAGGCTAACAAATGGTTTCATATCCACATGATTTATTCGGAATATTCAAAATAATGGGATTATTTCTATGCATTTTTTATTGCGACAAATATTACGCAAACATTATTATAATTTTAACAAATTCAAGAAAGCTTGAACAGGGCAGTTAAATCAGCCAGAGTATATCATTTTTTTCTGATCTCCTTGTACAAGTTGACAAAATTTTGATCTTATATACATTCCATTTGAAGATGACACTAATTTTATTTTGCAATTTTAAGGTATAACACAACAACATGAGGCGGTCACAAGTTTCCGTATATTTGTCTTCGGTCTTTCCAATAAACAATACTAATCAAAGGTATAACACAAAAAAACTAGTATGCTGTTCCATAGAATCTTTATCACGCACACTTCAAACAAATTTGATCGACTTGCTTCTGTATATTTCCTATAAATAATGGTCTATTCTTTACTTAAATATATCAATTCTAGATCAATTTTTATCTCGTTATAACGAGATAATTATCTCGTTATAACGAGATAATTATCTCGTTATAACGAGATAACTAATTCGTTATAACGAGATAATTATCTCGTTATAACGAGATAACTAACTCGTTATAACGAGATACTAACTCGTTATAACGAAATACTAACTCATTATAACGAGATAACTAACTCGTTATAACGAGATAACTAACTCGTTATAACGAGATAACTAACTCGTTATAACGAGATAACTAACTCGTTATAACGAGATAACTAACTCGTTATAACGAGATAACTAACTCGTTATAACGAGATAATTATCTCGTTATAACGAGATAACTAACTCGTTATAACGAGATACTAACTCGTTATAACGAAATACTAACTCATTATAACGAGATAACTAACTCGTTATAACGAGATAACTAACTCGTTATAACGAGATACTAACTCGTTATAACGAGATACTAACTCGTTATAACGAGATAACTAACTCGTTATAACGAGATAACTTACTCGTTATAACGAGATACTAACTCGTTATAACGAGATAACTAACTCGTTATAACGAGATAACTAACTCGTTATAACGAGATAATTATCTTGTTATAACGAGATAACTAACTCGTTTTAACGAGATACTAACTCGTTATAACGAAATACTAACTCGTTATAACGAGATAACTAACTCGTTATAACGAGATACTAACTCGTTATAACGAGATAATTTTCTCATTATAACGAGATAACTAACTCGTTATAACGAGATAACTAACTCGTTATAACGAGATAACTAACTCGTTATAACGAGATACTAACTCGTTATTACGAGATAATTATCTCGTTATAACGAGTTAAATATTTTTTTCTCTTGTCAAAAATGAGCCTATCCGGCTTTCGTAAATAATTATACTATGGGTTAAAATTTTTTTAACAGAAACAAGTGCTGAGAGGTTAGAGTTACCCTCTCCATTAAGCTAATTTTTACTCTTAACCAATGGGTACCATTTAGTTGGGCTCCGGTTCTTCTCCAGTCATTTTTTTCCCAAATACAACTAAAAAAAATCAACGTTAAGACATTGTGAATGGAGGTATTCCTATTTTGCAATCAAACGGGGTGCCAGCCCATCGCAAAGAATGCACCCCCCTACATAGTCATAATTTATGTTACGAACCTGCTGCTGCATTAGGTGCGCATTTATTAATCAAAGTCATTGTTTCTTATCAATATTCATGATCAAATAACTTTTGGGTACTCTTGCCTTAAATGGGAAAAGACATCAGCACTCCTTTGTCAAATTATATCAGAATTCAATGCTTAATTTGAATGGCGTGATTGGAAACCGCTTGTTTATGTTGTCGATTATAACTTCCAAGAAAGCAGCACGCTCCATACGAGGTCTAAATTTAAAAAAAAAAAAAAAAAAAAAAAAAAAAAAACTTGTAGAATTCCTGTGCAATTATCCTTTCATTGTCATGTCTTATAGTAAATTGCAATAAAAACGATTTCCCTGTGAATCTGCTTCATAAATGAAGCTAAATGGTAGTGACACAAGCAATACTTTGTGGTGTCAGATTCCTCCCCCGGGGTATGGGTAAGAGGAAGAGACCCCCCACCCCAATCAAGCCTTTCTTTTAAAGATAACCTCATTTAAAATGGTACATTCTTTCATTTCATCCACTACACAAAAAGTATAGAAGAATGTTCTCTTTTTTATGCATCATGTGTCTTAAAATATCATTTCTTGGACACACCTTCTGAATCAGCGAAGACAACTCCATCACATAGACTCAATACCTGTAAATTATTGAGAAATATGTTCCACCATTAAAAGTTTATCACACAACACCATCCACTCTCAATAAAGTTATTTTTCTTTTATTAAGTTGATGTGAAGTAAATATATCATTAATGAAAAATATTATAACAACATAAATGATTCTCTCCAATTCAAATGTTTCTGGATCTACTGTTCATGAAAATAAAGACATTTTAACCAATATCAACTCACAAAGATGAAAGTTTAGTGGAAACAAAAAAATATTTTAGATTTGCAATACAGGTTGCACCGATTGTCATTTTTCTTCATTTCTAAATATTCATCTGCAAGATTTCTCTTGCAAAGAAAATCCCTTAAAAATTAACTAACTATTTTTTTTCAATTGTAAGATTTTGAACTTAAAAAAAATAGAAAGAAACCTTGGAAAACACAAGAATCAACACCAACTTTTTTGTAAGTTTCAGTTAAAACTAAAATTGGCTTTAAGACAAAGATAAATGGAATAAATTAACATTCACATAAATTATAAATGGTTGTATGAAATTAAATATTGTAGCTTGATTTCAGCTTCAAAGCAATGTACAGCTTTTAGATGACCTAGAAAATTAAACAACCATGACAATGATGAGAACAAGTTATAAAAATAAGTATAAATAACCTGACTATCGATAGTATATTATCACAGATTAGGGTACTAATTGCAGATTGCTTTTATCTTGCAAGTAAAATGAGCTAAAAAGGAATATTCCATACAATCAGTCAAAATTAAATTAACCCACAATAATATACAGAAGTTAAAAAAAAATAAGAGAGGGTCAATATTAACTTTCTATACTATGTGCATATGATTAAAAACTGTAAAGCAAATATGCAAAAACTGAAACTTGCATAATTTTACAGTTTAATTAACTGAATTAAAACAATGGTTTCTGGTTTACATGAAATAAAAAATGTACATAATGTTACCAATGAAAATAGTAAAATCAATTTCAAATATCATATGAAAATAATCTCCATAAAATTTGGTAACAATCTTCCATATCTACCACTCTTCCTCATTTCAAATGGAAGATCATTCAGATTATCCTCCCTATATTTACAAGGAACAAAAGACAACAGAAAAAAATACGAAGTCTGGATAAAAACATTCAAGAAATGGATAGTCTTGACAATATATAACTGAGGAAAAATTGTTCAGATTGCCAGCTCAATTAATAAAGCAATTACTAAAATAAGCCCTATTGGAAACCTGTAGTTATGAATGAGGTTAGTAATCGTTTGAGGTATTTGGTCTAGTCAAAAGCTTCGCCTCCGTTTGATATACTCTAGTACTCTCAGTATCCCCTCCAGCCTTTCTTTGTAGGAAGTCATTGCTAACATAGTCAGCTGTATACGTGGATCTAGAGGTAATATTGGTAGAACTTTCCACAACCAAGCTGTGCTATTTGGGTTACCCTGGTAGTCACTGTCACAAGCTGGAAATCCCCCAAAATGTCGAGAAATTTGATTTCTTTGCATACCTGGCAGATTGTCAAACCAGGATTTTACTTCTCTGTAGGTTTTTTCTTGAAGTTTGTTAACAGCTGTTAAAAAAAAAAATACTTGTTAATTTTCATACTCGGCTTCTTCAACAGTAAACATGCTTAAACAAATTAAGTGGTAGAAAACAGTTATTATGCAGATCTGGTTGGTGATATTACTGACTTTGATGAATAACAAAATTTACAGAGAAGAGATTTAAATTCAAAAATCTTGCTCATACCTTGTACATCATTTTCAGGTATGGCAACATCTCTCAAAAATTCTACATTGGCTGTGTTGTAGCCATCTCTGTGCCCTCTGGATAAAACTTTGAATCTTCGCCCTCCTATACAATCGACCAGTGATCTTCCATCAGGGAAGAACTGCACATCTCGTATCTCCAACATACAGCCGTACTCCGAGAAATCATCTCTGTTAAATGACATAAAATGTTAGCTGAGTATAGATTACCCTATAAATTTATATAACTTTGTTGTTAATGGACAAATAAGATGTAGAAATCCTGATTTAAAACAACTTACTGGTCATCTCCCATTGAGATGCACATGCCAAACTGTCGTGTACCAGCTTCCATACATTGTCTGACCATTAGACGATACCGGGGCTCAAAGATGTGAAGTGGACAAGTTACTCCAGGGAAGGCTAGTGTGCATACAAAAATGGGTATATGATGTTTTTCATCTTCTCCCATTCTGAAAACATTAAAAATTTTTATTCATGTATATCTACCAACAGAATCCTCTTCAAACGAGTTGTTTAAACTTCTACAGCTCTCCTTAATCATTGTACCAGCAGTTCAACGTTAAACACTCAAGCCTCTCTTTAAATTTTAAATTTAAAACTCGATACAACACTAAAATTTTGACACCTGTGCTTACTTACTTTGCAAGTTCAACCAATTCATCTTCATGAATCTTTTTTCTTGCTTCGTGTTCTTCAGGAAAATAGGTTTTCAGAATATTTTCTAAGGATTCATCTCTGGTTTGGCGTCTCTCAGCTAAATACTACATATAAAAAAAAAAAAATATCATTATTTAATTCTATTGTGTGTCTTCTTTCATAAGACTACCAGGTAAAAGGAAATACAAAATCACTTTATCTTTAAGTTTTGTACCTCAACTAATGAGCCTTTACAAAGAGGACAATTGCTTTGGTGATCTAAACATCTGTCAAGACACTGGCGACAGAAGGAATGGCCACATGGTGTGGTGACTGGTTCATGCATCAGACGATAGCAAAGACTGCACTCAAAGTCATCAACATTTACCAAGGCTTTGCTGACATCCATTGGAACAAAGTCTCGAGACTCTAAAAAATAAACATTCAGATGTTAAGATTTTTTTTAATTTACCCAACAAATAACATCCAAGAAATATAATCTCTATTTCTTTTATAGATTTAATGAATTTATATATTTATTATTCATAAATTTATTGATTGAATTTAAATACATACTCTGCTGCTTCTGTGGTGTCTCTTGTGGGGATAATGGAGGTTGAGTGATACTAGGTTCCCTGGTACGTTTTCTGCTGCCATCACTGTTTCTGCCGTAGGGAGACTGGGACCTTGATCTAGCTCCTTTAAGGAAACTAACTGGTGATTCTCTTCTGCTGCTTGGTTCAGATGCACCTGAAAATTTCAAAAAATGACTTCACTGATACCATCTTGAATTCTGCATTTTGATATCATTTTTTTAAAATCATTAAATGAAATTGTGAAAAACCTTAAACTGGTACATACATTTATGTGAAAATGTAGTCTCTGCATTTCCATTCTTTTCTCTTGGCATTTGCCCAGATGAACTTTGTCCATCCTATAAAAGTTATAAAACAACTGTATTTTACTTGTTATCTTTCTCTTATACACTGAAAACATTTTTTCACTAAAGAATAAAAATATTGAATAATACCAGTCAAATTTTTATCTATCAATTCTTGTTTTTATCTTGCATTTTTACCAAAGACTAGAAGTATTTTTTCTTATTATTTCTTTTTATTATTTTTTTCTTATCTTTTCGTAATTATTTTTTCGGGTTAGTTGAGCTATCAGAGTCAATGCTGCCTCTCCAATACTTTGTCGTTTCATGCAATGTCCAGCTTTTAAAATTAATTTCACTTTACAAAAAACAGTACTGGAGCATCAGACCAACATAAAGCAATGGTCAAACTTTTAAGGTTACTAACAAAAGATCAGTGTGCTATCTTTTTTTATAACAGCCCTGTAACCTTTATAAGAATCTTCTAAACTATTCAATATGTTCAAATTTTACCTTATCAAAGCTTGGTTTCTTTTCTGTTTGTCCCAGCACAAAATTTGTTGCACTGAAGAGGGTTTCATCAATGATGCCTTTGAGTTGATCTAACTTGTCCATGGTGATATGAGGTAGAAGAAGAGCGGAGCTGAAGTTGGCACGGATCAACTGGGTCAGCAGTGAAGGGTTGAACTGATTTTTCAAGGCCAAAGCTTTCACATCATCATTTGGAAAAGGTGACAAAATCTTGTGCAGAGACTATGAAAATATGTTTATATTATAAATTAAAAAAAATTAAAATGCATTTTTTATCATCTTTATACAATGTACATTTCATAAGTTCTTTTTTCCTTTGTTTTCAAACACATACACAATCCCCCCTCCCCCCAAAAAAAAATTAACCAAAAAATCCATTAAATTAATTCTATGTGTAATTTTTTTTTTTGCTTTCTTTTTCTTACCTTAGAGAGGTAATCTTTTGCTGATTCAACTTCCGAGTCCAGAGCTAAACACTGAAGCAATGATACAACAGCGTCTTCAAACAGATTCATGCCAAACTGAGCACATCCTTTACGGAAGTATCCCTGTAAAAATAATTTACTCTTAATAAAAATAATGAACTGAAATAAGAAATTTTATATTACTATTTTAAACAGTTTTTCTACATAAAAATAAATAAATACAAAAATAACAATAAATAAATTAGAGGGGTACATTAAAATTTTATTTGTTTGCTTTTGTTGTTGTATTCAAATGTTGAATAATCAAACCAATGTACAATTATATAGTCTTCTTTTGCTAATCTAAATGTGAAATGCACAATGAAATTTTTTTTAATATTGACTAAAAACACCCTATACAAACAAAATTTCACGTGATTTTTGCTTTTCAAATACACACATCGTGTTCTATTAAAACCTACCTTTGGCCAGTCAGGACGGAGTTCAACAACTTTCTCTGCATCCTCCATAGCCTCACTGAATCGATCCAGGGAGGCATAGGCATGGGAACGATTGCTGAGTAACAAATGATCACGTGGAGCTAAAAAAAAAAAGATAACATTTTAAAAAATATATCCAGTGTGTAAAATGCATATTTACTAGGGCTGGGAATTTTGTATTGCAATATATTGAGATATTTTAAACTGCATTGCGAAATGTATTGCAATATAATATTTTTAATTACAGTTACAAATTTTTTTCCTTATTTTATTAAACTTCATTTATAATCAAAGTGAATAAAACTTCATGTGTGTTATAAATACGTTGCAGCAAAAAAAAGTTCTTGTTGAATTCACTTCAGTTTTGCAACAAAATTATACAACCATACAACAGCAACCTTATAGTTCGGCATGATTGAAAGCGTTTTTGGCATCTTCATGCAATTTCATATTTTACTTTAGAAATCCCAAGCCCCGGCATTTTAAAGATATACCGGTACTGGAAAAATGTATTGCAATACTATATTTTTTGTTAACGAATCGCAATATACCAGCATATTGATCATGTTGATATTCCTAATATTTGCACATAATTTTGCTTTCAGTAAACAAAAATCAACAGGTATTTCATAAGTTAAGAATTTTTATTTTCATAATGAAATTACATGTGAACTTCAGTATCAGGTACACTGATAGTTAGGATCTTCAATTATATGAAAATATTCAGTAGCTATTAAATTCATTACTTATATTTTAATGTTCCATCATTTAGTGAAGAAAATAAGACAACTTTTTTTTAAAAAAATGCCTTCAAATTGTACATATTTTAATTGTAACATCAAGCATATTAATATGTTTATGTATAATATATAAATTATTGTGACCTAGGCAATACAGGATATAATTAGATAACTAATTTTTTAATCCAATCAAATGAAGTGTTACAAGCAAAATTAAATTATTTTCCTTTAAACACTAATTCAATTTATATTATTATGTTTGCTTATGTAGTTTTGATTGAAGGATAATCTATGTGCCCTTATTAGCATATTTAACTACAGGTTAACTACAGATGAAAGTTATTTACACAATTAGCACAACAAGATAAATCAAGAGCAAAATTTAGTAAAATGAAGGCCATAAATTATAACTAGATTTCTATATTTTGTTTAATTCCAAAAGCAATAACTTGTGGGCCATTACATGTAGCAGAAAAACAAAATCCTTGCAAAAAAGTAGATGTCAAATGAATTACGGTTATAAATCTAAAGATCATTTTTTTTTTTAAAAAATCAAAACAGTAATACACTATCAAGTACCAACCAGATAAAAGCTTCACCAGCAATGTAATCTGAATATTGTGAAGCATTTGACAGATCTGCCAGAATCTCTTGATTGATCTTAATAGGTCGAATTAATCAATATAGCTTTATTTAGCTATTTTAAATACATTGACAGAGCTCTTTATTTACATTTTTTAACATATTCATATTTAAAGAAATAGAAAAAAGTTGCAAGTGTATAACAACTCATGTTTGTACTATGGATTGGTAACAAAAAATCCTCATCATAGATAATTTAAACATTATAGCTTTAAAGCAAAATTTTTTCATGCAGTGTTTTCAGAACTGTACTAGGCTAAGTTGAAAACAATCACTTTTTTATCATACTAAAAAAATGCACATATATGAAACAAGTATGATAAAATAGCTAAGTCAAGCTATTTTGAATAAAGAGATTGTGCCGGACCTGCTGAATCATAGCTAACTATACGGTAATACCTCTAGTCATTATTATCAAACTGATTTAAGAAGAGACAGAACCCAATATGATAAAAATAACATAAAAATGTTTGTGGAAGTGTCATAGCCTAAATTTGCCTTAAAAGAAAGCTTACGCAACCAGCTAAAATCAAACCGAAAGTAGGCACATGTGTCCCACTTACACCGGAAGTTCACTTATTACAAAACGATCATCTTCCGGTCTCAACAAAATATGTTTCATAACAAATAAAATATTCAATACTTACACAACTCAATGGCCAAACTGTATAGTTCTATTGATTTATCAAACTGTCTTCTTTCAAAAAATTTGTTTCCTTCAGCTTTTAAGCAAGTAGCTTTACTTTCATTCGGAAACCAACTTTCGATTAATCTTGAAAGAAGCACATTTGACTGAAAACTAGAAGTCCTCACAAAATGATGAATAGTACCACACGTTCTACAAGTTTTTGATTGATCTCTTTCGAAACATTTCCTACAATAAGTATGACCACATGGTATTGTCAATGGTTCATTGAATAATCCTCTACATATAGTGCATGTAAACATGCAACTTTTGCTCATGTTTGCACTGGTTGCAATATTGTCCTGTTTTACAGCGTTTACTAAAGCTGACACTAGACGATTTAAAGAAGATGGTGTAAGATTTCCAAGTCTGAATGCACTAGCATATGCATCAAAAGCTTTCTCAAAGTGACCACCACAAGCAAAACTATCAGCTAGTCCCATGCACAGATCCAGAGAAGGTCCGTTTTCTTTAATTGTTCGTTCATAAATTTCCGCTGCCAGTTGGAAATTTTGAGTATTAAATGCCTCTTTCGCCAGGTCAACCATCTTCACATTGATACTGTTAGTTAATGCAATTCATACTCATCGAAACCATCAATGTACTACACTGCATTACAGTCCTAACTTATGTAACATCACGTGTTACCATACTGTGCGCTGATTGGTCACAAGTAAAATGTTGTAAGGTCGCAGCCAGGTTTGTTATGAAAGCAGTTCTTTAAACTTGTTTTTAAACTTATTTTAAATATTAGTTAACATGAAATGCATTAAGTTTAATTAGCATTTTTTACTGCAAGGAGAAAAAAGTTTTTGTTCAGATATGAAAAATCTATCAACTCAGCGATCCAATCTATATTTTGCACCCTTTTTAATGAAGATTTTTAGTGATATTTGAAATCAAATGAACATTGGATCTTTACCAGGGTACCTGATATAATGCAATATTTTTTGTGAAACGCTAAATATATATTGTTAAAGCGAGAGATGTACTACAGTTACTTAGTTTCTTACTGACAGATCAATTCGATCAATTATAGCTACAGAAAACTCAGTTTTGCGGTTTTATAATTATATCAATAAACTCAAATATACAAGAACAGATATGGGTTACCCCATATCCAAGATATTCGACTTTTAATTTATTCGAATTTTCATTATGCTCAGATAATTTCTAATTAAAAAAAAACTATTTACTGATAAAACGTCAGAGATACTCAAGCTGTAGAAAGTCAACTATACAATGGCCATAAATATCCTAAAATGACATAATATTTAGGCTACTGAGTTTCAACATCTTTTGTTGATTAAAATATATGCATGTACTAAGAAAACTGCATGTACATATATAACGTTACATGCGTGTATAGTGACTTATTATCACAACGTTGCAGATGCCTAAAAAATAGTTTTAATTTCCCATAGAACATAGACTAAATATAATCAACCGTATAATTTTAAAGATGTATTTAACAGCTCACTCATTTTCAGAAATATTTTAATCCAAATAGCATGTTACAGGCCTGTAGCAACGTTTTCAAAGTGAAAGGGGGGGGGGGGAGGGCTCCGAAAAAATCCCGCGTACTATGGGCCTGTGCTACATGTGTACCATCTAACTTTCCAATGATAGAATCTTCTGTAAAAATTCGAAACAAGTCCAAGCAAAGATCAAAGATAGCCCAATTTTTTAAATAGCAAAACTATAGATCTATCAAGGATAGATTTTAATTTATTTTTTAATTTTGTGCTATTAAAGTACTATCACTCAAAGTATAGGCATATGTTAAAGATGGGTCAACAAGAGTAATCAATGAACTCGTCTAGAGATGCATTGACGGCCGTTGTTAAACGCAAAGTAAAGCGCGAGATCGGTTGCGGCTGTGGAGCGTCACTGAACATTCCTTCGTCATAGAATAAAATCCGACATTTAAAACTTTATATAGACTTTGAATATAGAGACGTTTTGAAGATAAACTTCATTTTTTTTTCTAGAAATGTTTTTATTTACAAAAATAGTATATTTTCGTGTTTATAAACTGAGTAGTGCAATGACCTAGCATCGTTTTAGATAACTCAGCTCCTCTAGTCCAGTCTATAGGGCTTGAGTAAAAAACCTGCACTTGTTATGAAACTGGTGTATAGTTCTTCCTCATGTCCGTAGCAAATACTGATACCCATTCTACATGATCTAAGCTTCGCTAGCGAACGGTGCACATACCTATGCTTGCAAGACCAAATAGACTAGGTTTGCACACGTGCGAAGATCCTTTCCGACGAGCTCGTTGCTTTGCCGAGAAGTTACGATTGCAGGTGTTTAACCATAATATCCATTCCGTTATTTTAAAAAAAAGAGAAAAAAAACACACATAGTTAATGATTAACATTCTCACTCAAAAGAAAATATACGGCAATTAACGAACAATAATCATGACAGGTATATAATTGGTGAAAAGATTTATCACTATCAATCGAAGGATGACCTACATATTTTCGTGAAAAAGACTGAGGAGGCAGCGAGCGTAGGAATATGAAAATTTTTTATTTCCTTTTCTGGGGGAAAAGTGATTTTCTTAAAATCTTTTAACGTTAATTTTGTTTTCTTTAACGAATTAAATATACATCATTATTCTTAACATTTGTTGTAATGTTGTATCTACTGATCATGAATGGAACTATTTTCTTCGGAGCGATTGTGTGAAGAGTACCTGACTTTAGTAATATATCTTGAATAGATAATATGCACTGATCGAATATATTAATAATTCCCGTTATCACTTTTAATATGTGGAATATATTTACTGACATTATTTAAAAAAGAATCGTTCATCACAGATCACACACTACAGGCGCGGATACAGGAATTTTTTTTTCCAAGGGGGGTCCATCCCATGCAGTCAAAAAAATAAATTTCCAACACAAAAATTTCTTGACAAGCCAAATAATAATAATATATAATTAATTAATTTAAAAAAAAAACTACCGGTAAAATATAATAAAACTGAATTCCCTTCCCTATCAAGAAAATTTCTTAACCAGCCCCCCCCCCAAAAAAAAACCGTAAAATCCATTTTCCAATCGTGAAAAACCACCTATTTCGTGGTGATGATGGTGGGGTCAACGTTTACTAGGGGGGTCCAAAGTCATTATTTTATTTGCCTCAGAATATACTTTTAATAGGCTAACTCTGCAAATTTCAGGGGGGGGGGGGTCCGCCCCCCACCCCCTCTAGATCCTCACATGGACTAATGATATCCAAAGTAGTAATACTTACCCCCTCCCCCTTTCTCATACACGTAAATTGCATTTTTAATATCTAATGTTATATTAAAACCTATTTCGGAGGGGGGATCTCAACTCGATATATACCAGCTAGTGCACTCGAAATAGAAGACACCAATGAGTTTGCTTCATCTGTTTCATATTTGAACGATTTACTGATAAACACATATTTTAAACCTAGCCAAGCTTCTGATAAAAAAAATTGATGTTTCACGGATTTCAACAACTGATCATACTTCTCGACTAATGTTTCCAGTGGTCTTTGTTGATGGGGTTTTTTTTCGGTATACCTTGTTCACGATTTTTATTATTTTCTGGATTTATGAGCTTGATCTCTGTTCGTTATACTCACTTTTTACATTTCTTGTAATAATGTACGCTACATATTTTTTGTAAAACTTTTCTTTCTTTTTTTCTTTATCTTCTCCTTCTGCCTTTCTCTCTCTTTTTCTCAACTGCCCGATATAATATATAACAACGATAACAATGATGTTCTTCCTACATGACAAAGAAAAGGTCTTTGACCAGACGGGACCGAAAACTGCCGTTCTTTTTAATCACGCGTGTCTTTCCCCCACGTGTTATTTTTATTTTTCAGTCTCGTGTACGTATAGTATAGCGCACCTACGGCCTACATAAACTGTCTCATAAACATATACATGTATGTATATCTACCTTTAAATATATTAATACGGCTTTAAAAACAAACAATGAGGTAAGATAATAGCGAAAGTTTAAACATATATATGTATTCGACGGTAAAAATATCCAGTGTTCATTATTAACTAGACCGTAGCGTACCAAGGGTTCATATTATATAGAAAAAGCAGAAGGGGGTACGGGTAGGGCTGTGTATTGAGCAAAAAAATTCGATACGATACAATACTTTATAATGCAATATCCCATATATTGGATTCTTTAACAAGTCTATCAAAAAAAGTCTTAAAAATCATTTAATGCATGAATTTTATAAAAAACTAATTGTTTTATAACCCATTTTGAAGGACTTGTCTCACTGTCTTTACAAATTACACTTCAAATTCAAACTTTTAATGACTTTAAAACAACATGTTAAAATAAATTTGTCTATGTATTCTGTAATGTTTATCTAAGGTGTGCTGTCTCCTTAATGATTATATCATTATTGATCAATTTTAATTCAAACCAGTGAAAATATAACCTTTGCTGACTGAAATTCCCAAATTTTTCATAGAATTATGAGAAAATTTGCCTGTCAGATACATATTGGAAGTTATTTTTTCAATGCGATACATTCTTAAATATCGACATGTATCGATATATCGATATATTGATACAGCCCTAGGCACAAGGAGTTGAAAGGAAGGTGTAAAAAAGGGGGGAGGGGAAGAAGAGGGACAGGCAAAGTAAGACAACCAATGGAAATAAATAATAGGCCCATGGGCCACAATGCTCACCTATGTATAACCATTGGTCAGATAAAAACTAGAAATATGTCCATAGGACATGAATGCCCCGCCGAGGGTATATTAGTAATACAACATGAAAATTTGTATTAGTGTATGAAATTTGATGATAATATCTTGAATAGTTTCTTTAAAATTGAAATCTAAAAAAAGTTGGGTATAGATGATAAATTCTCACCAAATAATGTATAAATGCATAAGCTTACATAAATACATCTTAATGGTTTCTTTAAAACTAACCAAAATGCAAATTTAAGAAAAGTGAGGTCAAGGTCACAGGAAAGTTCAAGGTCAAACATTTTTGATGCAGTTGAATAGTTCTCACAAATATGTATCAGCATATTAAGTTTGATAGACATATTTTGAATGGTTTATTTAAAACTGAGCTAAACACTAATTTAACATCAATGAAGTTAAGGTGAAAGGAAAGGTCAAGGTCAAAAAAATGTTGATGCAGTTGAAAAGCTTACATCAGTATGTATTAGCATATAAAGTTTGATAAAAATATTATGAAGGTTTCTTTAAAACTGAGTTAAACACAAATTGATAAAAGTGAGGTCAAGGTCAAATGAAAGGTCAAGGTCAAAAATGTTGATGGAGTTGAATTGCTTACATCAGTATGTATCAGCATATGAAGTTTGACACTAATTTAAGAAAAGTGAGGTCAAGGTCAAAGGAAAGGTCAAGGTAAAAAAAATGTTGATGCAGTTGAATAGCTTTCATCAGCATGTATCAGCATATGAAGTATGATAAAAATATCTTGAATAGTTTCTTTAAAACTGAGCTAAACACTAATTTAAGAAAAGTGAGGTCAAGGTCAAAGAGTGTTGATGCAGTTGAATAGCTCTCATCAGTATGTATCAGCATATGAAGTTTGATAAAAAATATCTTGAATGGTTTCTTTAAAACTGAGCTAAACACTAAGTTAAGAAAAGTGAGGTCAAAGTCAAAGGAAAGGTCAAGGTCAAAAATGTTGATGCAGTTGCATAGCTCTCATCAGTATATATCAACATATTAAGTTTGATTACACTATCTTGAATGGTATCTTTAAAACTGAGCTAAACACTAAGTTAACAAAAGTGAGGTCAAGGTCAAAGGAAAGGTAAAAAATATTGATGCAGTTGCATAGCTCTCATCAATATCTATCAGCATATGAAGTTTGATGAAAATATCTTGGATAGTTTCTTTGAAACTGAGCTTTGAACTGAGCTAAACCCAAAGCGTGACAGAAGGACAGAAGACGGACATGACAAACACTGTATGCCACGGCCATATTCATGGCGGGGGCATAAAAAATAGGCCCATGGGCCAAAACATTCACCTGAATCACTATGATCCTCCCTTCTCTCCTTGGGGTCATGATTTGAACAAACTTGAATCTACACTACCTGAGGATAATTCCATATGACTAGTCATGGCTTTTCTGTCTTGAGAAGATTTTTAAAGATTTTTTCCTATGTATACTAGGGCTTGGACAATACAACTTTTTCTATATCGATACATATACACTATTGTTTAATTTGTTCCCTATTTCTCCTTAATCCCCACCTCCTTCCCTTCCAAAAAAAGAGAGAGAAACATACAAAAAGAGCCATTGATTTGACTTAAAAATATTAAAGAAATTAAGATTTGTTAAAAATCTAGAAACACTATGAAATATGGACTGCTTTCAAGATTATAACAACTAGCCCAGCTGCAAGGTTTGACATCCAAGCTTAAAGTCTGTTGAATGCATCGTTTGAACTAATGCTTGCTAAGGCAAGACTATAGCAATTCTATAGAGCTATGTACCCTCTATGACCTTGAATGCAGCCATGGTAATGTCCTTCACCTGCTAAATACATCTACAAATATATTGCAGTGTGAGGTGGGGGGGGGGGGGGGTAATCTATTTATCTCACACACACATTCATGCATACAATATCAAACAGGGATGGGGGGTAATTGGTACTAGCCTTGGGAGATTTTTTATGTTACTGATAACCATATCAATTTGAGTATTGACTATTCTAATTTTAGCAGCTTTTATAAAACAAACGTGGAGACTAGTTCACATTCATAAGTATTCAGCAACTCATAGTTGTATTCACACACATATATACTCCTATATTATTCTTATTATGTATAACACATATATACAGTAAAACACACTTACAACAAAGTGCTAGGAATTTTGATTTGTTATAAACGTAATTCTTTATACACATACATGAATATGTTAAGTTCATAAGTTTTAAAACTCAAGGAAATGAAAATCACTTTGTTGTAAGCTGTGAATTCATTATAAGCATGTTTGCTGTAACTGTGTTTAACTGTATATAAAATAAGCTTTTTCAATGAAAGCTTCAACTTTTTAGGGCCATTGATGGAAGAACAGATTGACAGACAGAGGGAAAGTGCCATACTATAATAGATTTATCTAAAAAATACAAATCAAAACTTTTAGCTCACAAGTTATTTCATTCACCACCCATTCGATAAGAATGTTTCCACAAGGACTGTTTTGTTTGATTTATTTTGATACATAAATCAAAAGTTGCTGTAATAAACTTTAAAACAAGAAAAAATTGATTTCTTTTAGGTCCTTGATATTTGTCCCATTAACTATGTGTTAATCTTGAATCTTGAGTATGCTTTTCTTCTCCAAATCTTCCATCTCCTTCAGAACATATGCCACATTATATCGCAGTTGATGAAACTGTGAAACGGGGACCTGGAAAACATTGTAAGAATGTAAATGTTAAAGCTGGGAAAGCTACAGTTGATCTTCTGTATCTCAAAACACTAGTATTTTGAATGACATGGATATGTTGAAGTGATTTGGAAGTCTCAAACACTTTTCTTTATATATTTTAATCTTGACATCTAAAACACTTGGATATCAGATTTTGTCTTGGTCCAATCAAGTAACAGATAACAAGGTTTGACTATCTCTGTGTGTGTGTGTTGGAGGGGGGGGATAGAAAAAAAATTATCCCTCATTTTCCACCATTAGTTAGTCAATGATTTCAACAATTTCATTGAGATTATATTAAGGCTCAATGTCAGCTTAACTACTTGTGGCTATTTTGTTCTCGTGAGTGACAAAATATTCTATATTGTCCAATGGTGTGATGTTTTTTCTTTGATGGTTGATGACTTTTGATTATCACATATGTGATATTTGTTAAATATTTATTTGGCCCGCCCACTTTAAATCATTTGTCAACTCTAAATTCACATGTATACCCCCCTTTTTCTTTTTAAAAAAAAAAAATCTCAACTCACAACAAAACAGAAAAATAAATGTCTGTGTAAGTAATAGCAGTATATAATGCAATTCATTATATGAATAATTTTTAGATAAAGAAAATTCTGCATATAAACAGTGGTACCTTTATGTAGCCTTTAATCATCCCCACCTTTTTATTCATATCCTCTGTAGATATTACAGGTATGTAAAACTGTATTACTATACTAATATAATTATGCTTATTTATTATTTTATATGATTAAATTTCAACAGTTATATAAAAAAATTTAATTTAGGTGTATGGTAAAAAAAAAAACAAAAAAAACACCAAAATATTCAGTTTAACTAAGTAGCCACTCTGCAAAATGACTAAGTCCAAATTAGGTACAAAAAAGTTACACAGAAAAATGACGAAGTCCTGAAAAGTTATGTTTTAGTTACATCTGAAAATGGCTAAGTCCAAAAAGGTACAAAAAAGTTATACAGTAAAATGACAAAGTCCAGAAAAGTTATCTTTTAGTTATACCAGAAAATGGCTAAGTTCAAAAAGGTACAAAAAAGTTATACAGTAAAATGACAAAGTCCAGAAAAGTTATATTTTAGTTACATCTATAAATGGCTAAGTCCATTTTAGGTACAGAAAAGTTATAACTAAAATGTAACTTTTTCTTGAGGTACAAAAAAGTTACAGAAAAGTTATAACTTAGTTATAACTTATTTCGGTATGGGTAGATGCATTTCTTCAGCAACCCCTACACATCAGGTAAAATCAGAAGTCTCTGATCAGACTGTAGCTCTATTTGCAGTATTAATTTGACTTGAATCTATGGCAACAGCAATAAATAGAATCATGATACTTGGTTTAGTCTCATGTTTATATGTGTGCCACCTAATACCATTATTAAGTATGGAGACAAAGTTTTTAATTAATTAAGTTTCAAACAAATGAAATGTAAATGAGACATTTAAGATTGTACCTGGTAACTGGGTATGAATTCTTCACAGTAGTCAAAAATGTAACTTGATGAAGAAACCAAAAAACTTGAGGTCAAATCATAAAAAGAAGCCAAGGTCACTAAATTTTGATACAATTTTATATACCCTGAACATGTTTGTGTATTCTGATTACCCAAAAGTTCAGGAAATTTCAGGTCATTCCTTTAGTCCTTTATGATTAGAATGCTTTTTATACGAAAATGTCTGAAGGAATATCTTACAGTATTCAAGCAAATGACTTAATTTATGCAGCTATTTGGAAGAAATATCTTTTAAATTAAGCTTAATGTAACTTCAATAAAATGTAAGGTTAAAGGTGAAAGGAAAGTCAAGGCCTGTAGCATTTTGACACATTTCAACTGCTAACACCAATACCATAATATATCTGGCTTTAGTGAAAGGTCAAGCAAACTAGAATATCAGATTTGAATTTCTCCCACCATTCAATAACTTTTTAAAAACAAAAATGAAATAACATGGAACCTGAAAGGATGGAGCAATGGAAGACGCAACAAACACCAATCCTCATATATTCCATTACCTTGCATGCATAATAACTTGACAGAGCAATAGGAAGTACAAGATAACAAATTGATGTACAGCATCAAATCACACCACAGACATTAATTTTCTGAACACAATACCCTGGATATATGTCACGAAATGTGCAGGCGCAATGATGGACGTCACAATAAATGCGAGTATCGAAAAAGTGTTTTGTCATTTGCACCTGTAGGAAATTCAAAATAAAATTTAGTAGCAATATTTCTCTAAATTTTCAAGTAACGTTTTCTGAAAATTTGAGTTGCTTTTATACATTACACACTACCATGTTTGGAAGGACTTCTTGTTAGATTTTTTTGATAAAATCATAAATTTATATCTGAATAACATTGAAAAAAATTTGAAATGCATTAATAAAAATAATAAAGACATAATATAAGTCTATTTATAAAATTATTTATTCACATTTACTTTGTTGTATGCTCTCAGTAAGGAATTATTCCATGTAAACAAAAAATAACACCTCAATTCCCCATGTGCACATTCTAACACAACCACAAATAGATCAGCCACTGCTGATAATGATATATAACTGTACATGTATTTCCTGTTAAACTGTGTATTCAATTTTTGTTGACAAGACCAACCTTAGGGCAAATTCATTACCAATTATTTAGAACATCAAGTATTAATTAAGTCAAACCAATATAAGTAAAATATCACCTCTCAGGAAAAAAAAAGTGTTACATGGTTCCTATTTTACCAACACTTATATGCCTTGCATAATGGGCTATCCAGTTGCTTTTCACAAAATGATAAATTACCAAGCAGAACATAACACTAGTGATATTTGAAGTGATTTAAGGACAGGCATCAAATTATTACATCAGTTTACTCCGATTTCATATTATCAATGGAACACATACAGATATTAGTTTATGTCAGCTAAAATTTTATGAATGGTTGAGTATAGTTTACTAAAATGTATGGAATGTTGCCTTCACCTTATTCTTTTAGACAGAATTAGTTTCTATTCAGACAAACAGACAGACATATGTTGCAATATCGATGATGCTATTCATGGGATACACATATATTGATAGCAATTTAAAACATTCCTGATCAGTGCTGAACGTAAAAGATGATGGCAACTTGAAAATGCTAACATGTAAATAATATTAAATTATTTTGTATACTAATTAACATAGTAGGTCACATTGACCAAAACTTTTTTCTATGAATAGTTCAATGAACTGCATAAAAGCAAAGTGAGGGAAGAATATATTAAATTTCAGTTCTGCTATTTGTCTGGTGGGGTGAGATTGCAATCTTCAAGTTCATTAAGTATGTTTTTTCTAAAAATGTCTTGTCTAAAATATTTTTCTACTTGTTTTCCATGAATTATTCTCAAAGTATTCTCCAAGTTTTTATTACATTTTTTCAAAAAACAAATTATTTCATAAAGAACTCAGCTAGACTGTACATGCCCTTTAGCTTTTATGCAACAATATTTACATTTCCAACTGTTTTCTCTGTGATATAACTCTTTGAGAGTTAAGTTTTTGATTTCTCGATATTTACGACTAATTGTAAATTTCACCAAGTGAAAGGTCAACTGCCTAATATGCCAATCGGAACATCGCTTGGCCTTTTCCGACAAGTCAAGGAAAAAAAAAAACTCAACTTAACGAAAAAGGCTCACCAGAGTGATGTTCTGATTGTCTTAAATGCACATCAATCTCTTGCAGCTGTCTTTGTGTCTGATGCTAGTAGGCAGGGATTATGGAAATTAACATGGAATGCCTCGTGCATTTTAAATCTATTCAACAGAATTGTAATTTTTATTTACACCTTTATTTCACTATACATGTAAATATAAAAAAATCACTGTCTACTTTGTTGGGTATGCCAGGGATGTCATCGACAGTTGGAAATGTAGGATAATTTATGCATAATGGACTTTGCCTGTTACACAAATAATCCCACGTTTCCAACTATCGTTGATGCATGCCCTAGCTAACATACCCAACAAACAAGAAAGTGATTCCTTTAATATTATCGATAAGAGTAATTAATCCCCCATCTTTTAATAAAAAAAAAATTGTGCATGAACATAAATCTATACTAAACTTTAGAATATCTTTTGTCAATTTCTCTGAATTGATGTGTACAAAGTAGCTATATGACTTTATACACACAAGAAATAGACGTAAATATACATATTATTGTGGAGAGTATCAACATTGGTTGTTTTATAAGAGCGAAAGGCTTATATAAAATGCTTATACAACAGTTATATAAAATATCTTCTTTTTGCCATCCTATCACTGCAGAGAGCCACTATGCATTAATAATCGTTAATTAGATGGAGATGCATGATAAAGCTACCTGCTATTATGGCATATTATCATAAAACAGGGATCAATAACAATTATAATTGTTACATAATTCCTTTTATTGCATGCAACGTGATGCTTTTAGGTTTGTTAGTACAATACTGCAACATAGAAATAGACTGTACCTTTTTTTTTTTTAAATATATGTTAAAATAAAAGATTTGGAGTGATAGATCAAACTTCCTGGAATATAATGAGAATAAAAAAAACAGGTTATAAAAGATAATCAATATAAATGCATTATTCATAGACAAGTTGATTGTAAAACCAATAAATTAATTTATAAAGTACTTTCATTATTTTCACGTCTAGAAAAGGGTTTTTTTTTTTGTACCAAATAATTCTATACAGTAATGTCAGGTCAATATCTGGAATACCTGCGGTGTGGATATATAATTCTTATTTTCCCCCATACTTATTGTTCTTATGAAAACAAAGAAGGGTAGTGGCACCAATATTTTTTCACTAAATGAAATCTTTCATAATAATAAATTATGTAAATATCAAATTATTAAACTCTTGTCTTAATTATAAGACAAAACCAAAATTTATTGGTAAAATCTTTTATGACAGAATTCCACTTTC